GCACTCGAGTTTAATTATTATCAGCCGACCACCATCTTACGCCCTACAGGCCAAACCACCAACTTTATGCTAATTAAGCGGAATTTTGTCTTTGACTAGTTAGGCAAATGCGAAATGAAAGTTCGAATCCTTTTTATTTAAAAAAAAAAGGCGCACTCAAATAATCGAAATCAGCTAAATATAAACTGTAAACTGGCATAATTGCCTGTAAACTGGCATAATAAACATATTATTATTAAAAGACTCAAAGGCAGTATTGCAATTAAAATTTCGATTACGTGTTGAAAAAATAACTAACCACAATATCTCCCAAGTAAACCTTCTTGTTAATCATAGTTCACCAAAATACTCAAAAATCCGATGCTTAAAGATTGTTCTTATAAATCCCAAGAATTCAGTGTATCAGGTCGAAATAGTCCTCCACAGCTATTTTTATGTAGTCATTTGCAAGATGTGGTCACTTAAGTTCAGGCAGACTAAAGAAACATCTTACGGACATGTTATTTGTGTGGATCTCTTTGGGGGAAGTGGAGATCGAGTATAAAAAACCTCTTATTCGTCCAAGTCTCGGTGCAAAGTACAACGGAGGAAGGAAAGGAACTGACCTTTCGTTTCCAGCAGTTCCGCATTTGCCGCACGGAGATTTTCCAAGGCCTTTCCATAGGCCGATTCGAGGGAAGAAATTTCTTTTTCCTGGATGATAACTTGCTCATTCAAGGCAGCGTTTTTGCCTAGATAAAGAATGAACAATTTCGGCTATAAAACCAACCTAGGATATGAAATTGATGTAAACTCGAAAAAGAAAAACGTTCTTCCGTTGGTATTCAGTCAAACAATAAGTTGACGAGTAAACCATTCCTTGCGCGAATATCCAGGCGGATGGCTAATACCCACAGATAGCTGTGACAGCCATACACAAAGGGCGAAATGTTCAAACGGATTGCATTAAATTAGATATCGAGATACCTAATGAAACACCCCTGAAATGCCAGAAGCGATTTGAGTGGGTGCACGATCACCGAGCCTTAATCTATTGGTTCTACAATTGCCTTTTTAAGCTGATCACATTTTACAACTCCAACATCCTCTTCCCCTGCCATTCGGTGTGCTCAATAAAACGACCGATAGTCCTAGTCGTGATATCCTGGTTGAGGACAGAGATGCTGCTGTTTAAGTATCAGTCCGAGTATTTAAGGTGGTTTATGACTTCAGACTGTTAAAACAACAAAAAAACGACCTCATGGCAGTAAGGAGAAATTTTTGAAGTTGGGTAGGCACGCCCAATCAATCAGTTATTACCCCGACCGAATTCTATTTTCATCAACTGCTCGTCTCAGTATCGAAACGTGAAAGGTCAGATTAATTAAGCCCAGTTCTAAGGTACACCTCCATTCTGATTTTTCCATCCTATCGTTGTATGCTTGTGGCCGTTCTGAGTACACTAAGAAGGTAGTTTGATGAAATGTGGCAAGCAAGCTCTGATGGGTTACGTGGCGGAAGTAATTCATAAAGGCCGTCATAGGGGAAATTTTAAGTAATGTTGACCTCTTGAAATACGATGGTTTAGGATAATGTCTCGTCTGAATACACAATCACGTATGGCAAAATGGTGCTATAAGTCACCACTTTCACGAAGTCGGATTGAACAGTGTAGAGGTGACCAGATAACTGTGAAAAAAACAGGAAACAAAATGTTAACTCACTTTCGAGGTCGGACAAAGCTGTCATTTTAGCCTGAATTTGCTCCTGCGCTTCAACAAGCTCCGAGTGCAACTGTGTGTTTGAGGCGCTTTGTTTGGACAACTCCAACGTTAGAGATTCGACCTTGGCTAAAGTGAAAGCGTTAAGATTAGCAGTTGCGTGAATGACCGAAAACATTGACGTAGACCACCCTTATTAGAATGAGACATCAAAGTCTTGCTAAACTATCCGTATTCCGTCCTACAACAATGAATTACTGA